AGCATGTTACTGAGCCAGGTGCGCTGCAGGCGCCGTCGGGCGCCCAAACGTCGCAGAAGAGTGGACTGCTTTCACAAAATCCCGAATACGTCGTCACATACGACTGAGAAAGTGAGCGAGGTCAATATCGGACACCCTCCACGTCACATCTAGCAGTTTCCAGGTATCTAGCTGTCTCTATGTACATGCATTGCTAAAGTCAACCTCAATGTTGACGGAAATTCTGATCTGTTTCAACATCCTTTAATCGCAATGCCAGCTTATGTATTTTCCCTCACGATGAAAACACGGTATTCAAGTTATTTCGGACTACCGGAATAACATAGTTAATGGCATCTTAAACAAGCCTGTTGAAGATCAGGAACTCTTCCTTTGAAGCTAGCTCTTCATACCAGTAATGGGTACGAGGATAAGCCGGCCTCTTCACCTAATGGTGTCTCACCACAGAGGCACAATCGCGGCTCTCCGGTGAACTTGAGTGTTCGTGCAGCCTGACACAATATCTCAGCTCAAACCACATGATGATACAAGATGTATCCAGCGCAGGGCTTTCCCATAATGCTTGTTATCAGCATTACTGGACACCTCTGTGTCGTGGGATCCGAATAACACAAGAGCAGTGCTGGAGACCGAAGACCGGAACCCAGAGCCCAGAAAGCGGACAGTGCTATACACAAACTGGAAGAATCTTTCCTCTTGGGCTGGAAACGAAGTGTCCCTGTGAAGTTTACATCAGGCAAAGCACATCGACGCTCTTTTATTGGAGTGAGCAAAGTAACTCTTGCTTTGGAGCACTTAAATACATGTCTTGTTCATCGTCGACGACTTGGTCGCAAAACCAGATACTCTCTCCTGTCGATCTGATGAGGTTCTGCTGCTAGCTGTGCCGTCTCTACCGCTCCTGAAGTTACACAAAACTCAGCTTCTTGAATTTCGCGGGAAACAAGTTTTCAAAATAGTGTCCGCCATGGAAGGCCGCCGTAAGCTCTTGTAGTGAAATCAGAAGCAATAGGGGAAACTACGAAGCTTTCCATTCATGCCGATAAACTGGGAACGTCTTGCCAGCTTGATCTTTACAACAGTGTAGACGAAATACCTAACATCGGACCGCAGTACTCAGAAAAGGAGGCCAGCACGTGTCATGAGCGTATTTAAATAAAGCCTAGGTTCCTTGCATCGGAGCGCAAAACGAATCAAGTGTCTGCTAGTAGTTTTGCTGTTGCACAGTGCCAACCGCCGCGGTAACAGTCATGGTGTTCACGACAGCCGGGAATCTGATATTGGAAGCCAACGCCAGAATTTCTCCATCGATAATGAATGTGGATGAATAAACAACAAGAGCCACAGGGTGGTAAAGATAACGGCCGTTGATCCTGAGACGTTACCTGGCCCTCTCGGCATCGAAAGTCACGGATGCTGTCCGTCTACCTGAGGCTGGAAATGACTCCCATCCTGCCAGAAGCAACAGACTCTATCGGAGCCGACCATTGTCAGGTTTTCCAGACAGCCCAGTCCTTTGGACCTTAAATACTGGCACGCCACTTCGCATCACCCACAAAGCCGCACTTAGCAGATGAGTACAACCAGTATGAAATTCGTCGTGCCATCATCTCGCTGCATGTTGTTACATCCTTGGTATACACATACACACCTCGCCTCACCTCACTAATCCAAACATACACAACCCCCATCCAGCCCACTCACTCACAGTGACCCCGGAAGAAGAGAGGAGATGAAAGAACCTGTTTGTTTGTTTGTTTCGGGACGTCGATTCGTGAACCATTGTGCTGCTGCCTTTGTTGTATTTGGTGCTTTTTGTGTGTGTGTGCTGTCCACCCTCAAACCCAATCCATCCATGCTCCCCGCCTCCTGCCGCCGCAATTACCACAATGTATCCCTCACTCTCCATCCTGTCGCTTCCACGAAGAAAACCGGCTGCTGTTGTTTTTTTATTTTCTCTTGCGCTCGAGGGCATCCATCTTCTCCTCCAATGCCTGGACGTAGTTGGTCACGCGCTGGACGGCGGCCTGGAGTGACTATAGTACAGAATTACCGGTTAGCTTTGCTTGGCTCTTCAAAGCGCTGGAAGTCAGAAGATTTAATACGAGAAGGGAATTCTCGACAAGAAAGAAACACAAGAAGCGCCACACTGGAAGGGCAAAGTCTACTAAAGAAATATGGGAAAATGCCCCCTTCTGCAGAGTGCAAGAAAACGATGTTCAACCGGCTCCTCTGAAACCCTCGGATAGAGGAAAGAGAAAGACAAAGAAGAGACATGCAGAGAGCCGGCGCGGGGGCACATCGGGAGTCAGAGAGAGACAATATCAGATGCAAAGACGCACGTAGATATCCTCCGTCAGGAGTTCGTTCGAGGTCTTGTATTCTTGGAGGAGGTACGAGTAGACGCCGGCGCCGGCGAGGGAGCTGCCGAGGAAGAAGCCGAAGAGGCTGCGAAAGCATTGAGGTCAGCGCTATGTCCATCTCCTATGAAGCCCAAAAAATGGTGGCGTCTGCGACTGCGACCTGCACGTGAGGCCAATTGATCCCCCCTAGCGGGCATGACGTAGGGCAGCTGGAGGCGAACTCGACGAAGCTCGGCCGGACGGGGGGAGGGAGAACACTCACCCTCCACGGAAGGCACCGACGGGTTTCCGGGCAGGCAGAGGAGCGTCGGCGGCGTCGCGCAGGGCGGAGGAGGTCTGGAAGGAGCGGGCGGCGCGGATGGGCAGGCCGGAGGCGCGGGGGAGCGCGCGGGAGAGGATGCGGGAGGACATTGTTGCGTCGTGTGTCGTCGGGCGTTCGATTCGGGGAGGTTTCGTGTGCGTGCGACCGGGGCGAGAGGTGAGTTCTGGTCGCTCACGAGGTTTGCTCGGTTCTGTGTGTCGTGGTGAGGAAGAAGAAAAAAAAAGAGCTCGCAACCCGGTGGTGGAGGCAAGTTGGGATGGGGGGGTGTGGTGTATGCAATAGAGGTTGGAATTGCAGGTTCGGGTCGGTCGTAAATTGGGCGGGAGGGAAGCTATGGTTCGGCTAATGCTTGTTGCGCAGGTAGGTAGTCGGTGCTGCTCGTCCCTCTGGCTTGGCTCTGCCGCTGCGCCGCCCATTACCTCAGGTACCGTTGTCCTCCGTCAGCGCCGGCCACGGCGGGATTAGCCGGGAAGCCATTGGGCACAGCCCATTGGTCAGAAATTTCGAGGTTTTTCGGTGTCTGGGGGATTTGCTGTCTGGGGGTGGTGGCTTCATGGCCCACTGAAGGGGGGGTTCGGAAGGGGTGCTTCTCTTACAAAGCTCCGGCACTTGGTCGGCGTTTTGAGACCTGGGAAAGACCATGATGACGTCTTATGAGTGAAGAATCGAATGGCAGTTGCATAAGTGTCGAAATTGGGGAATTATTCTGACTTTTCACAAAATATCTCGTAGCTATTCTTACTCTGCACTCATTGAGGAGCTCTCAATTGTTGCCGCCAGCCACGCCTCATTGGTCAAAATTACCCCATCACCAATTTCCCCAACTCTGATTCGTCACAAAAAAAGTCGAGCTTCTTGACCACCTACCCAGACGTCCTGCACCAACGCTCAACTTTAACATCTACACACCCACCCCCGAAACCAAAAGATGAACAACTTCGGCGTCTATGAGCTCGCAAGCGCAAAGACGACCTCCGCCCCGGGATGGGCCTACGTTCCCGACACGGGCGTCAACCCCGCCGCCGCCGCCCTCCAGCCCGCGAACCGCAAACGCGCCGCGCGCACCAAGGCGAACCCCTCCGCCTCCGACCTCAACGTCCGCCAGGAGGCCAAGATCCGCAAGGAGCTCGAGGCCTTGGACAAGGACTGGGGCAGGGACGCGACGATTCCCATCCCCGCCAAAGGGGGTAGCAGAGGTGAGCCTTTTCTTCTCCAGGTACATAGACACCACCGGCTGACCACAAACGACCAAAAGCAGCCCAGACGAAAAGCACACCAAACGTCCGCAAGATCCTCCAGTCCCAAAAGACTTTCTCAAACCACCTCGACGACCACCTCGCCCACATCTCCCACGCGGAAAACACCCCCGCGCCGCACCCGAACCAGCACACCGCGAAGCCCGCGAACAAACCACCCCACCCGAACCAACACACAAAGCGCAACGCCGCCAAGCGCGCAAAGACATCCACCCCGAAAACCGCACCCGTACCCGAGCCAGAAGACGTCGAGATGGCGCCCGCGCCGCCCGCCCTCGGGGATTCTTCAGGCGGTGGGCCGGTCCTCGCGCCCTACGACAAGCCGCTCCCGCCAGCGCACCCGGGCGACGAAGACCCGCTGCTCGTCTCCCGCGTGCCCGAGCCCCCGACGGACGAGGAGCTACGCTGGCTCCTCGCGCAGCCGATGCTGAGCTTCTGGGACGCGCGGGCGGAGTGGGCCGACGAGGATACGCGGTACCCTGAGCGGACGTTCTGCGAGGTCTGCGGGTACTGGGGCCGGGTGAAGTGTATGAAGTGCGGGACGCGGGTGTGCGCGCTGGACTGTTTGGAGACGCACCGTGAGGAGTGCGCTACGAGGTATGGGTATTGAGGAGGGATCCACGGATTGTGTTATAAGATCTGGTACTTTTTATGTTTTTTACTCAAGGAGGTTCTGGGAGCTTCGAGATGGCGTTCATGATACCCCACATCAAGTTGTTTTGAGAATGGAACGAATTGTTTTGACTTGAGCCCGTGGATTGATTCATCAGTTCCTAACGGAATGCTTTTGTACATGTAAAGACGACCTTCTGGCCACCGTGATATATACAGCCGAAGCTTCAACCAAGCCGACCACGGCTCGAATCCTCCAACAGGTGTTCAGATCTTCTACCGTCCGAAGAGCCGAGCTACGGCACAGCCAGAGCAAGAGTTCCTAACCAAAGAAAACCCCTCCTCGAGAATATAAAATTGTGTCGAACAGAGAAAAATGAAAAAGATAAACACGCCTTGCTCAACGTCCCCTCACCCGCCGCCAGAACATTTAGGCTTGAAGCTGTATTACAGCTCGCCAGACGGAGGCATGGCCTCGAGGATGAACTCGACGTCGCCGGAGGTGGCGCCGCCGGAGCAGGTGGCGCGGACGCTGCCGGTAGGGCACTTGTCGCGAGCAGCGCGGACGCACTGCTCCCACTTGTTCTTGGAGATGTTGATGGTGGCGCCTGCGGTTGTGGGCTTGATGGTGAAGCGGGCGGAGCCGGACTGGCCGACGGTGGTGGACGGGTTGCCCTTGCAGGCGGTCGCGGAGCCAGAGATGCCGCCGCAGATGGCGAGCTCGGCTGAGTTTGCGTCGTGGGAGACGATGTGGCTGGGATGTGTTAGTACATGATTATTGGATGCAATGGTGTTGCGGGTGTTTGTGTAAGTTGGAAAGTGGGGTTTGAATATGATCATGGGAGGAAATGATGTAAGTGAAGACATACGCGTTGCGGTCGATGCACGTCGCCTCCAACACGGCAGCCGGGTTAACCTCCGTCTGGGCGCGCATGCCGAGGACCTCAAAGTGCTGCTGGGGCACGGTGAAGCGCGGCCAGTGACGGTGCTGAGCCGGGGCGGCGAGGGCGGCCGTCGCGGTGAGGAGGAGGACGAAGGTGTGGACGAGCATGGTGAACATTGTTGTTTGCTGTCGTTGATAGGTGGTGGTCTCGAAGTGTTTCGGGTTTTGGTGTAAATGAGGTTGAGGTTCTGAATCGTTCTCGAACAAGCCACAGATTCTCGAGTCCTTCTCTGCGAGATCGTTTCGTTTCGTTTCGGTTGCGAACTCGGAATGTCTCCTTTCTTTTTCTTCGTTCAGGTGGCTTGACTTCACTTGCGATGGTATTTCGAGAATGACTGGAAAGTGCTGGGACGTTTTGACTCGTTTGGATGCTTGTCGAAAAAAAGAACAAGGTCGACCTCTCGGGAGGGAAAGAATGGAAAAACGGATCACAGATCGTCGGTTGGGAAAGAAAGAAAGGAAGTGACGGTCAACAGACTGTCTTGTTTGCGTGTTTGGCTGGAAAAGAATGTGGGAAAGTTCACAAAACAATTCAAAGATGGAAGGAGAGAAGAAGGAAAGGGAGCCTAGGAAAGAAAGCATGATGAAGGAGGAAGGGCACGCCACTAAGTAGTGGTTAGCTTGTAACACAATCTTCAAAATTTCTCCTTCCTTCCTTCCTTCCGTCCCTTGGCCCTTTCCTTCCCGCTCACACTAAAGTCTGGGATCTGGGGAGGGGAGGGGGGTGTGGCCTTGGCTCAGCCGATGGTTATTTTCTTGCAGTTGAACCCGTTTGTCTGTTCAGGTTCCCAAATCAAATCACGCCAGATCCCGGTTCCCAGGTTTTTTTGGACCGGGCTTCTCCATGTTTGCGCAATGAAAAGTGTGGCCACTGGCAATCGGACTGATGGGGCCACGCCGATATGGGATGGAGTCCACCACCTGCCTCCCCTGTCGGGAAGGTAAGTCAGACGGATATTGTTCATCAGTCATGTTGTACCTGTTGTAACTGCACAGATGGTGCTGGCGTACCTGCGATACGCAAGCGCAAGCACAAGATCACCAATGGAGAATTCGAACCGCGCGGACATCGAGCTTCTGACGACACGCATCGCTCCTGCGCTGCTGTGGAGAAGGGGAGCCAGGTTTGACTTGACACTTGGCGTGGACTCAGAGAGAGGTCGTTGCGCGATGGTGGCTTGGGGCCGGCAGCTTCGAAAGTCACAGGTTCACGACCTGTCTTTTTTGGCAGGTCGTCCCCATTAACCTTAGTACCGTTAGGCTAAACCTCGAGTCACCACTTCATTGGGCCTGGAGCCCAAGGTCAGGGGGGGCTCTTTAGTCGCTATCCCGGATCGACGGTTGGCGCTGGGCTGGTGCTCTCGGCGCATGAGGTTCGATAGGTTCGACACCGGGCGGTGCGCGCGCAGGGGTCTTCCTCTCTGGACGTCATGTCATGGGCAGGAATTCAGACGGGGGCAAGGGGACGGTGATAAGCGCAACCGACGTCGAGCACGACACTGAGAGTTGCGGAAGGTCGGGAAGCGGAAAGGGGAAAGGGGAGGAACACAGGAACAAGTTTCGGTGATCACTCGCAAGGCCAGCAGGCGGCCACAGGCGTTGCTCACAGGCGGGCCAGTTGTCTTCGGCGGCGCCCATCCGGAGTCGCAAAGTGAAACATGGGCCCCCCATGCCGTTCGGTTCAGACGACGAGGTGCCATTTTAAGGCTTCTGAAACTCGAGCGGTGGGGCCATCCCGGTATTCCCGCGAATCTCCACCGTCTGACAAGAACACTGCAGGCTCGCACTTGGGTCCCTCCGGCGCGGTAGCGACTACCACCTACCGCAGTCGTGCGTGTGCTCCGGGGATGCGAAGAGGGGAAGAGGAATCGGGCCTCGACCTCCCTCTTTTGGGCTAACTAGTTTCGCGATCTTGAACGTTGGAGCTATCACCAACCACAAGTGCCGCGGGGTGCGCGATGATGTGACGAAGGGGATAGCGAAACCCTTGGCTGAGTCTTAAGATAGCTTGGCTATCCCGTTCTGCTTTGCTCTGGTTATTGCGTGCCTGGGTTGGTTGGCTGATTCGTGGTGGCTGATTCGCTGTAGCTTGTCAATAGGATGCGCCGCGATATAGAGCAGATCCCCGAGAATAGGCACAGAGTGCAATCCATCTGTGACAACCATGCTGAAGTCACGTCTATCCAAGCTTGCTGATCTTTTGTTTATCAGACACCTTAGCGAACCTTGAAAAACCCAAAGTCCCGCACGCGCCGTCCATAGCTCCCGGCATTCTGGGTTGTATTCAATTGTCATCGAGGAGGCGGCGCAAACGAGTTCGTGCAAACAAAGTACACTACCGAGAAGCCCTTACAGTAGGAGCTCTTGGCCCTGACAATCCCGAACAACTCCTCCTTTGATATTTCTTGTTTCATTGCCCTTGGCTGCGGTAGAAAACTTGAAAATGTGTCCTCTTGGCTTTTTGGTGATTGTGTGTTGTGAAAAGCCCGCAAGCAAGTCATTTTTCGTAAGACCTTGCGAGAAGAACGTCAATTCGGCAACGCAGCGCCGGTCGGTATTTCGCAACAGCCCACTTCAAAAGGCCCTGCTCCATCGATCGGCTCTGGTCTGGTGGTTCCTTTTTCCCTTCTCCATGTTTCGTACAGATTAAGCCGCTGGACGCCCCTCTCTTGAACCCGCCCAGGGTGTCGGTTAGGCGAACCGCTCTTCAGCGCACTGCGGACGCTGCGGACGGTCCGGGTTCCACTGGGACCAGCCCAGCCGAACTTTACTTGAAGACTTGACAAGTGAACCTAAAATACTGTCTTGGGATGAAGCTTTTTTCTCGTAAATTGAGTACGAACTTTTGGGGCGGAGGAGGATATCGTTTCCCAGAATAACAGGTAGATAATCTATCGCGAAAGTGAAGGACCCGCTGCCCTGCCAAGAAAATGAGCCTTATGGCCCGTCCCCTTAGTCAGTTCTGCAGGGGGCGGATAGTGATTGATATTAACATGCGTTCAAAGCCTCATAGCTCATGACTTTTTCCTTTCCGCCATCCTGGCAATCAGTTTTCCTGCAAGTTGTTCATCGAGAAAGCAACGTGATGCTCTGTTGGCAAAGCACCCAAAAACATTTGTCATGAATCTTCGGAGGCGACCAGTTGCTGGCTTGAATCAGTTTTGCTTCTTTCTTTGGCCGCATAATCCGCAGACCCCGAAGTCGCCGGGGTTGACATGTTGAGTGCTATGGCACAGCTCACGGTCGCACCGCCAGGAGTTCGGCACGCTTGCCGGGTCAAACACGTGGGAGCAAATCTCGCAGGTTATCGAGAGGAGCGGGTTCTCAAAAGAGCACACTCCACAGCGGATATACGAAGGCGCTGCTCTTGTGTGATCGGTAACTGATAACGGACGCATCGGCGAGCTCGGACGGCCGGCTGGCAATGGCCGCGAATCGTCATCTGCTTCTCTCTTGACCGGCGGTGGTGCGCTCTCAATCTCCGAAATCGGCACTGGCTCGTCTTCAACGCCTTCTTCCTTTTTGACTCTCGGCGGGGATGTTTGCTTTGAGACTCGATCCGTCGTGGTATTTCGCTTCTCTTGCTTTGGCTTGTTTGCTTTAGCTTGAGCTGCCGATGCCGAGGGCTCGTCTTCGCGTTTGAAACTGAGATGTGTTTGTCGCCACTGTTTGACGGATGCGCGCAGCTCTAGGAGCTCAGTCTGCGCGTCCTGATCGTCAGGGTTCTCGTCCTCGCAGACCTTTATCATCCCGCGACCCTTGCCGTCAAGCATCTTCCTGCCGTCGATATCAACGGCGTCCTCGGACTTGATATCCACCGGGTCGTCCTCGTACTCGCTCTCCGTGCTGTCCTCCTCGTCTTTGACTATGAAGTCCTCCTGAGGTTCCTTCTTCTGCTGGTCGAAGCGCGCCAATGCTGCCGCTGCTCGTAATTCGCGGCCTCTGGCACTCCCAGCCACGCGAGGTTTTGCTTGAGTGCGCTTGCCGCCCTCCAGCTTGACCTTCGTCTCCTCATCCGCACCGAGCGCAACGCCGTTTGCGCCAAACTTCTTGAGAATCCGACGTTCCTTCTGTTCTTTGTAGAAGAGCTTGGGCTTGGCCTTCCTCTTGCGACCACGCGAGCGATATGTTCCGCCACAGAGATGCTCCGGCAGTGGCTCGCTAGGAAGTGCCACGTTGTTCTGGAATTCGCCCGTCTGCAGCAAGGTGCCACGACCCCAGATGCCCTCGCCGGTGTAGCCTCGCCGCCATAAGCCTCTCATCTGCTCGGCGTACTGATTCCTGACGGCCCAAAATGCTCTGGAGTGATTCATTTGTTTGCAGTGCGCCAACCTAGAAGATGGTGAGATACGGGATGCCGTCTTCGAACAGTGCGTACATACTCGTGCATCATGACCATCTGGACATACTCAAAGGGAAGCCATCTCCCAGAGCGCGACTTGAGAACCAGCTGCACGATTTCGCCGGCATTGAAGTTTCTTCCGACAAACTCAGGGTTCGGCTCATACTCTTCCAATGACATCACCGATAGGTGGTTTTCTTTCATGATGGGTACTTTTCTCGGTCAGCCAGGTTCCTCGGGCTGCATCATGTGGGAGACTGACGGCATTGCGCCGCAATTCTCTCCAGATAGTCCTGGGCGATTTTCTCGCCTGGGCCCTTAAGCGGTTTGATGAAGATGATGCGATCATTTGGGTGCGAGCGCTTCGCATTGAGCCGCTGGATGCCGATCGGCATGGTGGGCTGAAGATGAACACAAACGACAGCTTAATCCCCAAACCGCAGATGTACGAAATCCGGAGATCATGGGATTCCAAATCGCGGAGTGCTTGGCTGGTTTTCTGGTTTCACGCGTTTGCTTGAAGTGGCTTTTGCGACAGAGGACGCAGCTGCCTGCGGAGGGGCGATAGTGCAGAGACGCGGGGTCACGTGCGGCACTTCAGTGGTCAGGTAGGTGCATCGAATCGAAAGGTCAACCCTCCAACACCTCCGTTTTGCTATACTCTCAACGAACATTTTCATGATTTCTATCTGGCTGGATATTTGATGAATCATCGTCTCTTTGCACCACCAGACGCATCGCCCCTCTCAGCAAGCGATACAACCTCCTGGATGCCAGCAGCTTCCTGCTCCTCTTCCAGAGCCGTGATCTCCTCTCGGCAATCCCACCACTTCTCCTCGCTGAGCTCGAAAGCCTTCGCCTTGATTTCCTTGATGGCGAGTGTCTCTGGTTGGATGTTCTTCCACCGCAAGTTGGTCATAAGAATCTCCTGCCACTCCGCGGTGGTACGCACGAAGAAGTCACGACGGGACTCGAAAGGCTGTGTGGTTGTTAGAGCGAGGCTTGATTTCGGTGCTTGCAGGGTGTTACTCACTCTAGGATGAGGGAGGCCGTCATCGACAGTCTCCTCTGTGGCCTCTGTATCGTCATCCTCCGTGGATGCCGCCGCGGTGGTTTCAGAACCGGCAACAGACGCTTCGTCGACCTTCTTCTTGCGCTTGCTTTCCGTGTGCAGTGTCGGCTTCTCCTCTTCCTCCATCTCCTCATCCTCATCCTCGTCGTAATCTTCATCATCTTCGTCGTCCTCGTCGTCTTCGTCTTCATCCTCGGAATCCTATGCAATGTCAGTATGGGAACGGAGAGAAGGTTCTCGAATGCGCTCACGATCCAGTCCTCGACGGGCCTGTTGAAGATCTCCTTGCATCCATCCATCTTTCCAAGATCCACGGCATATAGATCGTCGAATGTAAACTCACGATCCTTCTGCTCGAACGTGCCACCATAGATGTAAAGCACATCGTCCTGGACGACAAGCTGGGCGTTGAATCGCTGATGAGGTAGCTCCATGGTGATGGGCATCTCCCTCAAAGGCTTAACTTCCTCCTCGGACTCCTCCTTCTTGTCAAGCTCCATGTCCTCGGCGTCCTCCAAAGACTTGCCCGTCTCCAGAGCGGCTAGCTGTCTGAGAAGCTCCTCCTCTCGATCCTGGGCTCTATTACGACGGCCACCGCGCTGTTCAACGACTTGCTTCTTTTGTTGACGGGCCTTGCGGAGAACCAGCGGGAAGAAGCGATTACGCTCAATGTTCCATGCAAACAACTCCCTGAAGAACTCGCTGTCTATGCCCTCTTCACTCTGCTCCACGTCATGCACACCTCCAAACAGAATGCCACGTCCCTTGTGCCATGTCATGGTGGAACCCGCTCGCTTGGGGTTAGGAGCATTGGCAGGCTTCTTGCGTCGTTCCCAGCGGACAACGGGAGGGGCGGTGGCCGGTGAGCCTTCAGCGGGCAGAGACATTCTGAGGAAGAAGCAGTCATCGTGAACCATGGGTTTCAGGATGTTCCTCTGCCCCTGAGCAGAGCCCTTGGCTTGCTTGTTGGCTGCAACCGTGGCCTTGACTCTGGAGTAGCCTCCGTAGAGGACCGCTCCCTGCTCGTGGGGGAGCAGTGTGAAGGATGATCTAGGGTCAGGCTTCAACTGAGCCGGAGGCAACGTTGGGCTGAACCACGAGAAGTTCTGGGTATCAAAGATCCACAAGTCGGCGAGATACTTGGTCTGGTTTGACGTATCTTGGAAACCACCGAACAGAATGATGTACTGCTTCCAGTATGTCATGCGGTGACCACTTCTCGCCGGAGGTGTCTTGCCCTTGCATTCAATCTTTGTCCATTCTCTCGTGGCAGGCTCCAGGCGCCAGAAGTCCGAGTAGTGGTGGAAAGTACCCTGCTTCGGCGAGGAGAACTCTCCGCCAAACAGGTAAATGTGGTTCGGGTTGGAAGCCCGAGTCCACGCATGTCCGGAGCGCGGCAGCGGCGCATTCGGCGACGTCACGGTCCTCCACTCATCGCGGTCAATATAGTAGATGTGCAAGTCATTGAAGAACTGCGCCAATGCACCGTTGAAGTACTCGCCACCAAAGAGCAGCAAATTGTTGCGATCACAGGGCGAGGCCATGAGTGTGGAGGCAGAACGAGCTTTAGGGGGCGCCTCAGCCACAGTCTCGGTGATCTTGAGGAACTGCTCCTGCTGCCTCTTGTACTCCTCAAGCACTTGCTCGAGATCCACGTCCTCAGCATCGCTGCCCTCGAGCTTCGCAGCCTTGGTCTTGGCCTTCTTTTCACCCTTCTTGGCTTGCTTTGCCTTCTTTGCGGCCTACTCCATGTCCAAGTTAGGCAAGGTGGAATGGAAGCTTGATCATGTTGGTGAGGGACGTACTGCCTTGGCCGCCTTCTCGTCGCTCTTGCCGCCCTTCTTAACCTTGGCCATTTTGGGTGGTCTTAAAAAGTGCAGTGATAAAGCGCGGGCAAATTATTGTTGACTTTTGTGACGTCGGCGGGGTGAATGGTGGGATGAGATGATGGTGGGGTTCATCACGCTGGAAATTTTCATGTCGAGTGAGTGAGGGGCAAATCAGATCGAGCGTACAGTTCAATTGTCCCCGCAATCACTGTGTTTTCCTCGCATTGATGCGGTTTATGTACAGTGCGAAAATCAGCCATATGTAATTGTGAAAGATGTTGGGTATTCAGAAGCAACCAGCCCGTCAAATATGACCAGCATCCGCTGGTGCATGAAATTCAACGATTACCGTCATTTTCAGATATTTGAAGAACACCTTCAAACAAAGGCAATAAGTTGGACGCAAATAGGCTCTGAAGAAGCTTCAGCGTCGCGTGTCTTGCCGTCCAAGCGATCCCTTAGATAACAGGACGCCTTGGCACGGACCGGATGCTGACAAGATGGATCCCAGAGCTCTGAAAGAGGCGTTTTAAACTGTCTTGTCACATGCCAGAGTTCATCACCTCCGCATGCTCTCTACAGGTACTTGAACATGGAAACGTGGCTGTTCTTGATTTTGCAAAGATAGGCGGGCAACGCGGCACGCTACCAGCAGCCAATGAATTGGGCCAGCGCCGTGCTGTTGCGGATTAGGCAGGTTTCAGACCAACAGCTCAACAACATTAGTCCAAGACAACCGTGATGATCGGTCTGGGGATCTGCTGCAAGGGCCAATTGCAACCTGGAGGTGAGTGCGGTAGGAGACCTGTTCGATGGTGTTGCTGAACTTCCATTCGACTAAGCTGCTGGCTGAATATGCACAGAAGCCTGCCGGCAGGCGCCAGAACGTTTCATGGCCAGGATCTGGAAGACTCGCAAGGACACACGATGGAAGCCAAAAGCCACAATCACATGTCAATGGGAAGCTCATCGTACCCAGTTGCTGGGGTTGTTGATAAACATGCGAAAAGCAATGTGGGATTTGTGCATCTTATGCACGGTTTATGCAGACAACCCTGCATGCAGCGCAGCCGCAAGCCGGCATGTGGAGCCTCACGTCATCGCCATTGGCGGGAGCTTCGGGGGTACCGCGACCAGGGCAGCAGAGCTGGCTCACTCGTCTCACCCGCTGTCGGCACCAGCAGCCAACCTGAACTTCGTTTCGCAACTCTTCTGCGTCTGCCACTTCCACCACCACCACCAACACGACCAGCGCCACAACCTTCCGCCCTTGCTCTGTGTGCATTCCTCGAACCGCTCCCTCTTAGACTTCGGACCCTGTGCGCCCAAAGTTTCCGATCACTGCTGGTCAAACCCTCGCCCCTTACTGAGAACAGGCCGTGGGTCTGCCGCTAGAAGTCGACCGACTCCGTTCACAGACGCCATCGCCCTGCGCGTCTTTCGTCCCTCGCTCCTCGTTCCTGGGCAACCCGGCCTAGCTTGCGCCGTCGAACGCACGTCTGTCGCCGTCTGAGCTTCGGCCCTACCGCCATCCGACGCCGACTCAGCCATGTCTAGCATTGGGGACACGGGGAAAGTGGCCGCCAGTCCAGGTAAGGGATCACCCGCATAAATACCATTCCTCCTCCGCAACACACGCTTTGTTACACGGTTGGCCATTGCTTGTCTTTGAACGGAGCAGGCACCTGTCATCACGAAATTACAAGCAGCCATGCCTAAGAACAAGAAGTCGGCTCGTTCCAAGTCGCCGTCCAAGAGGGCTGAGCGGAAGCCAAGCAACCCTCAACTGGCAGCACAATCGGCTGAGGCAGGGAATCGCAAGATTAACGTCGTTGCAGAAGCTCCAGAGCTTGGGCCATCACAGCCAGCAACCACCGAAGCCCCGAAACCTACCCCCGAGAAACAAGAGAAACAGGAGAAGCCTACAGTAAGATACAGTATGGAACAGTCAAGCTGTAAGCCCGACTGACATTCACATTCAGAACCTTCATGAAACTCCAAAGAAGGAAAACCGAGATGAACGAAAAGCGACATTCGCAGATGTGGCGAAGGGCAACGTCGACGATGATAGCAACGGACACTCCCCTGACGCAGAGAGAAGCTTTGGAAGCGAGGGCACCGCCGACGAGACATTGGTCGACGGCTTCGACGTAGATAAACCGGAGTCAACTACGGTGAAGAGCATGGATGATGACGAATATCCGCGTCTCTCCCTGGCTGCATTCGGCAGGAGGAACAGTCATCGATACGGCTGGAAAGCTGGTGGCATTAGATTTGCACCTCTTCAGGTCCCCTTCAGTCGCCGGCTGCAGACGGGAGCCGTTCTGTTCCACGGTCTCTCCATCTTGACATTTGTCTCCATCTTCTTCTTCCTCGCCGCCATCCCTTTCACATGGCCGCTCCTGGTTCCTTACCTGATTCATCTCTCACTCTCCAGCGTCGCATCCGACGGCAACCTCAAGTACCGCTCCGAATGGCTGCGTTCGCGCTACATCTGGAGACTCTTTGCAGACTACTACCCGGCTGAGCTACACAAGACTCACGATCTGCCACCCACCAGGAAGTACATCTTTGGCTACCACCCCCATGGAATTATATCCCACGGCGCTTTCGCCGCTTTTGCGACCAACGCTCTTGGTTTTGATGAGCAGTTTCCGGGAATCACCAACTCGTTGCTGACTCTTGACAACAACTTCCGCATCCCACTGTACCGAGACTACATTCTAGCAATGGGTGTCCGATCCGTTTCTAAGGAGTCGATCTGGAACACCTTGAGCAAAGGCGGCCGTAATGGCGAGGGTATGGGCCGCGCCGTTACCATCGTCGTTGGCGGAGCTAGAGAGTCCCTCGAGGCTCAGCCCGGAACTCTGAGACTGATCTTGAAGGGCCGCAAGGGTTTCATCAAGATGGCCCTGCGAACTGGAGCCGATCTGGTTCCTGTCTTGGGCTTCGGCGAGAATGACCTCTACGATCAGCTGAGCCCGAAGACTCACCCCTGGGTGCACAACTTCCAGATGTTCGTCCTCCGCGTTTTCAAGTTTACCTTGCCCGCGCTTCACGGACGTGGTATCCTCAACTACGATGTGGGCATGATGCCTTACCGCAGACCTCTGAACATTGTCGTCGGAAAGCCTATCAAGGTCACCACGCCCCCCTCCGCTCAGCCATCACAGGAGGAGATTGACCGCTTGCACGAGCTGTACATTGCCGAGCTGCAGAAGATCTGGGACACGTACAAGGATCAGTTCGCGCCTGAGCGCAAGGCCGAACTTCAGTTCATTGCTTAAGTCGCTACACTCTCGAACATTGGACGGAACATCCTTTTCACCCTGTATACAATCTTACTACGTTAGTCGTACGCTGCTGGCCAGGAGTTGGTCAGAGGAGAGACTCAATTTTGTTTGTGTTTTGGCGCCCGGAGGTCAATTGGGAAAAAGGGGGGCAACAAGAATAGGAAATTTGTAAGCCTGGATAGAGGTAGCATTCCATCACTATCAATAACCGATATACATTGCGAAACGAAGCCGATGAACATCTGAAGTAGTGAAACGACTCTGCATCGCCGCGCCTTCGTCTGGTCGCGATCATCATGTAGCTGTGACCTGCAAGGGGAACGTGGGGTGCGGCGCTGAGCGGCTGCTCGAGCTCAAGAGCAGGGGGCTGTTTAATTGACGTCACATGACCACGTGGAAACTCAATCGCGTCTGACGCGTCGACTTGACCTCGAGCTTTTTGAGCTTACAACCAGCTTCTTCAATTGCGAACTCGACCAAACCTCCCGATTTCGCCGACCACACTCAGCTGTCAAACTGACTCTTCCTTTTGTATCAGCCTCGGCTTTTTATCAGATTCACAACTGAGGAGAAAATGCCTCCTCGTACGTCGGCTCGCAGGAAGGCGCAAGCTGTCGTCGAGACCAAGGTCGAGGAGAAGACCACCACCAAGGCGAACGGATCCAAGAGCGCAACTGCTACTGCCGTCAAGACCAAGACCGCTGCAGTCCCCAAGGCCGCTCCGAAGCGCAAGGTCGAGTCGGACGACGAGCAAGAGGAGTGTGGCAGCTGCGCCGAAGAAGAGAAGCCTGCAAAGAAGAGGAAGACCGCCGCCAAAGGCAAGGCGAAGAAGGACGACGACATGCCTCTCGCAGACAGAACAGCCGTTTCTTCGTTGAAAAAGGCGATGTACATCGGTGCTCATGTGAGCGCTGCAGGAGGTACGGACAGTCCTCGGCTCTCCTATGACGATTTTTTTGACTGACGGTCTTCTTCGCAGGTGTGGATAACTCGATTCAGAATGCCGTCAACATCGGCGCCAACGCCTTCGCCCTATTCCTCAAGTCCCAACGCAAATGGGAGAGCCCGCCTCTCGCGGCCGACGCCAAGAAGAAGTTCCTCGAGCAGGCAAAGGCAAGCGACTACGACGCCGGCGCCCACGTCCTCCCGCACGGCTCCTACCTCGTCAACCTCGCGCAGGCAGACGCCGCCAAGGCGAAGCAGGCGTATACCAGTTTCATTGACGACCTTCAGCGCTGCGAGCAGCTGGGCATCAAGCTGTACAACTTTCACCCAGGCAATACGGGAGGCGAGGCGAGGGAGGAGGCATGTGGGCGGATTGCGGCGCAGTTGAACGCGGCGCATAAGGCGACTAAGAGCGTCATTACAGTGTTGGAGAATATGGCGGGCGCGGGAAACGTCATCGGCACCAAGTTTGAGGATTTGAAGGAGATTATCGACAAGGTTGAGGATAAGAAGAGGGTGGGCGTGTGCATTGATACATGCCATGCGTTTGCGGCGGGCTACGACTTGCGGACGCCAGAGGTGTTTGGGGAGACGATGAAAGAGTTTGATGAGGTGGTAGGGAACAAGTACCTGAAGGCTTTCCATCGTAAGTTGTGCTGTACGAGGTGACTTTTAGGAACAAAACGCTGACGAAGGACAGTCAACGACAGCAAGGCACCATTTGCCTCGCATCGTGATCTCCATGCCAACATTGGCACCGGCTTTCTCGGTCTGCGGGCGTTCCACACACTGGTCAACAATGACGCATTCAAAGACATGCCGATGGTCCTCGAGACGCCCATCGATCGTAAGGACGAGAATGGGAAGAGTGTCGAGGACAAGAAGGTGTGGGCGGACGAGATCAAGCTGCTGGAGAGCTTGATTGGCATGAACGCGGAGAGCGACGAGTTTAAGGAGCTCGAGGAGAAGCTACAGAAGCAAGGAGCCAGCGAGAGGAGTAAGATCCAGGATCAGGTTGACCGAAAGGCTGCCAAGGATTCGAAGAAGGGGACGAAGGGCGCGAAAAAGGCGCCTGCCAAGGGAAGGAAGAACAAGGTCGAGAGTGATGAGGACAGCGAGTAATGGTTTCGCTGTGCCAGTGTATCAATATGTATTGTTAGTTCGCGTGGCGTGTGTACAGGAATGCCAGTGTCCGCGGAAGGACTGCAGGATATGGAATCTACTCAATGATGATCCTCCCCTGAGGCATAACATGATAGTGCAGACAGCAGAACCCCGTCGAGGTTGAAATGCCGTGAAAGGGTACCTGCTGACAACCTGGCAGCGGTCCAGGCAGTGATCACTCTGCATAATGAAAATAGGATGATGGTAGTCGCTGAAAGGGCCTAGAAATAGAACCTTTTGAGTCATCCATTCTGGCGAGATCTATATAAGTAGCTTGCGCTTACCCAGACATCGCTCTCTCGCAAGGCCAATGGTGGTGGTGTCAATGGACGCGTAAACGGACGGACCTTGTATCATAAATGACCCTCCCAACAACACTTACAAGGGCTAAGCTCTCACATTGCATAATACTTCAACCAAATTCCGTCTTTATTTCCGATCGGCCCTGTCGGTTGTGTATTCAAGATCAAAAAAAACATTGGACACCGCCTTGGACATGTTTCACTTGGGCCATCGAGATGAAACCTTTGACCTTTAGACGGGATGTCAGCATACTGGTCCATAAAGCTAGATACAGAACCACCCAAGGCGCGCATTCTTCTGGAAGAGAAGTCGTAGCACAGCTGCTGTGTGGTCATATATAGCGGGCTTCGGCAAAATCGGAGCAGGTTTGTAACCATACCTATGCATCACGTGGACACAAACAGGGGAACAGTTGGCCATGATTGCCGACATGACCAGAAAAGCCAGATGTCGTCATCTTTGAAGGCTTTATCAAAACCAAAAAGATTCTGATCGATTTCAAGTAACAAATACCGAAAACCTTATGTAGGAACCCGGGCGTGCCAGGCGTCAAATCCCTCCCCCCAGTGCCCAACGACACAAGCGAATGTGCTTACAAGAAGATGATAAGATCAATGGTCGTATTGCAGCAATCTCTCGAATATATGTACTTCATCTCTGTCTCAACACACATGAAAGCAGACCAGTGCACATATGGGTAAGCCCTTCCGTGTTCCTCATCCCCGCTTTGAATCATTCTGTGAGTATTTCGGACCTATCACGAGAATCTACGTAGATCATGCAGAAAACCATGAGCAAACCGGAGGGGAGGCTCTGAAGCTGGTACCACACTTGACTCTCCGCAGCAAAAGCATTGTTGCAATGTACAATCGTCCGCTCCGATTTCCACTAAGTCTGAAGATTCAAAACTATTTGGAGAAGCGTTCATGCCAATGACGATGTGTGGGGCAACACTGGGGTGCTTAAATGTCAGCAAACACAAATGAGACTCAGGGATATTTTGAACTGTCTCATTGAGGCCTGGCTCATTTTGCCCCTGGGAGCATTTATATCACCGTATTCGATGTATGCTGTATGTCTTGCTTCGGTATTATGGCGTAAGAGGGAGACAGCAGAATAAGAGAACGCTTGCAGAGAACGATGGCGGGAGGTAGAACCATCGTTGTCGACCGTCTAATACTTGATCCAAGATCAAAGAGTTTCGGGGGAATCATGTCGAGATACTGGTCACGGATTCTCTTCAATAGGTTAGGTCTGTACATATGAGTCTACCAAGCCGTCGTGGCTTCGTCCTATACACCCGTTCTGTCTGCTGAAATGAGGAATATATCTAGCGGTCCACGCAACACCTCACTTTCAAGTCTCAGCCAGAACCGTAAGAACAAATGTATTAGTGTTGCAAGTCTACTTCTCGAAATACGAAAGCCAGTCTATCCTTGACTCCCTCCGCTTGATTAAATGATCTACAAATCCGATTTTAGGATCGACCCGTCCATTATCGCTTTAGACTACACAAACCTAGGCAGGAAGCGACATGATGCGAGTCTCACGAATTTGAGCTCCCTCATGGCCAAGGTATCGCTCACTCGTGTACCTAGCTGCAATGTTAGTGAAGCCCCAAAAGATAGCATTCTGCGAGCGCCACTTACGTGAAATTGAGGTTGCCAAGAGCAATAGTACGGCAAGCCTCAATGTATCTGAGCACTTCCTTGTCCACACTTTCACCCCAAACTGGCAGTTCCGCTAAGGCCCTGTACCATGATCGGTAGCACTCCAGTATCATATCACCAATCTGATCAATGGCTTCCTGTTCGCTAAAGCCTTGGGCCCTGAGCAGCAAGATGAGGTTATGCTCACCTCCTTGTTCCTATGTGATTTCTCGTCAGTATGGGCTCCGCGTAACGTCTGGCCAGACCAGACAACTCACCAAGTCTTTGCGATATGACAGAATGTCGTTGACACTGAAATGTGTTAGTGAGATACAATATATAAGGCAACTTTACTCACAAGATGACAAGATCGGCCGAGACACGTTCACATTCTCGCACGGACGGATGGCCAAGGTACTTTTGTGAGATGTTGATGCCATGAGCGTACCTTCATAGCAACTGGTTAGCAGGCTTATGACGAAAAGATGAGAGTGGCTATTACTCGACAAGGGCAAATGATGGCTCTGTTCCAATCGTAGCACGTCGGAAGTTCATGTACTCATCAACAGTGAGTGTGAAGGCGGATTGCGAATGTGCCACCTTCACTTGGCCGAGAAGTCCATCAAAGTACATCTTGTGGGAAACTTTCCAATGCTCTTGCAAGTCTAGAGAAGTAATTCAGTGAGAAGAACGAAGTTGCACTTGATATTGTCTCATCATACCTTCTGATGATCTCTGTCGATCTGTTAGCCGAGTGAAAACATGCGTGGACGGTTTACCTTGGTAAATGACGTACCTTCTTCACACGATCCCAGGTCGTCTGAAAGACATATCTGATCGGGTTCTCATGTTGCTGCACCGGTGGGTTCCGGTCCTCCAGGATGGCCCAGTGAGCATCCAACTCTTCCTTGGCTTTGACTGGGTCGTTTTTAAGGTGACCCTCATCAAATTCTACATGGTGTCAGTCGCGGTGAGAAGCAGATACATGAAAAGTACATACGGTCATCAAAGATGAATACCTATGTTAACAATCAAGGTCAGTCACGCATGAAGGGAAGTGTGATAGCACTGTTACTTACCCAATTGTGCCAGTCGACCATCATGCGAAGGGCCTCTGTGTCAGCATATGGAGCCGAAAGCGCGCACATCAGAGCAAAATCAGCTTTGACGTTCTTCTTGGCTGCGGTCTCATCAAATTGGAACACCCTAGACGACGTCTTAGTTCGAGATGTTTGTAGGAGGGTAGGTAGGTATCGGCTCACTCCTTGATCCAATTGTCTGCCTCAAGCTTGACCTTCTCATAGTTGGCGTTGACAACAGGTTCAGTTGAGAGAATTGAGGAACATAGATCCGGAATGCGCACGGATTTGCGTGCTGAAGTGACACGCCCCTTTATGAAGGAAAGGTTGGGTGAGATAGATTCATCATCCGATTCAGGGGGTGTGCTCGAGGTATCCGGAGACCCAAGAACGTACTCAACGGGGGACGAAACCCCATACTCGCTCGCATTCGACGGCATGTTGTTAAGAGAATATTGAGGGATCTTGAATGTTTGAGCTGCACTCATGTAACTGATAAAGATATGAATGTCCAGTTTTCGACGATGGTCTTGGGAAAGCACAACTGAGGCAGGAAACTCGAGTCCATATATAGTTGAGATAAGAACGAAAGGCTGGGGGCTTCATCATTGTCCTTGGTCTGTCTGCCTAACAGCGCCTCCGTGACCCCATCCACATCTTTCTGTCATTTTCTTGGACGCTCAGAAATACTCAGAAATCACAATAGCACCAACACGATATCTCACCAAGGCTGTTGAGCCCCCCACTGCTGGGATCCCCACATCCATCTTTCTTCAGCAGTCGGGGCAACTCGGCCCCCAACTGCTTCTTCCGGGGGCGTCAGAATGGAGCCTCTTTTGACCCGGAACGCCCGAACCACAGAACTCACGTCATCTCAACCTCTTGTGCCGCAGGAGTTCGTTGCCCTCAAATAGGCTTATCTTATCCTCATGACTCGTAAGTTTCTTGGTTTCTGACGGATGATTGCAACTATGAACCGAAAAGAGCTGAATGGAACTGATGTGTAACTTCGTCCAGCTGCCTTTAGTAGCAAGTGGCTGCAATACAAGCCACATATTGAATGGCACCAATAATCCTGCAGGATCGGTTAGATTTGCCATAAAGCTGAAGTTGCACTTGTGCATGGAAGAGACAGCATAAAAAATGGTCAGTGGCCTAGCAAACACGACGGAGGAATATTCTAAGGTACACTTTCCTGCTAAATCAAGAAATATGTAAAATTCCAAGCCTAGTGCGATAAAATTCATGCAAAGAATGAAGTCATGGTACACCTACTGGGAGCCGAGTAAGCAAGGCTTCAGGTGAGATATCTCTCATGGGCATTGGAAAGCTGAAGCACAGCACGAGATCTTGTCCACGTGCCCGGTGAGTCAGAATTGATGCAAGGCCTTTGATAATCTATTGATTCCCAACTTTCTAGACTCGGCCATCAGAAATTGATTGTAATGGAGCAATTCGCAGAGGGTGCCCAGAAACCGGAACAGACTCTGCCGCATATGGGGCATTGGGAGAAACCCCGGTCAGATACGTGCGAAAAGGGAAAATGCTTCGGCTCCCTTACGCCGAGAAATTTGTAACGAGCCAATGAGAGCATCTACATGTGTTCTGTGTTGGTACAATATTGCCTTACTGCTGAAGGCGCAGCCCCGTTGCGACCATGGGGGCAGAAATCTGGCTGTTGGTTGAGAGAAAACAACTGTCAGCGTGCGATAGCTGAAGCCTGAAGATGGACGTCTGCCGGGGTCTCGGGGGCGGCGGATCAAAGTCTGTTCTTTCTTCTGGGGATAAAATGATCCTGCATTGAGAGGTGGAGTTGATGCTGCGGAACGATTGCCTAATGCATCGACACCGTCCGAACCAACCAAACAGGCCGCATTACCAGTTGTAGTCGTCGGGGGAAGTGAAGCAAATATATTGTGATTGGCAGTGTTAGTCGCCGGAACAGCCCGAAACCAATGCAAAGATGCGGGGGATGTCATACAAGAAGTGTCACATTGCATTCATACCGCATGGATATTGCAGAGAAGACGTCTTGGAAATAGACGTGAGGGGTTAAAGAGCTTTCCACAGACAGTTTAATAAAGTCGTCAGTGCCATTCCCGTGTTTTCTTTTTGAGAATTCCATCCGGTCTTTGGCTTGGGTTGAACTATCTTGGTCGCTTTAGACAAGTTCAATTACATTTCTGTTGGTTTTCTTTTTGCATGCATGAACTCCTGTCTTAGCCCTTGACCATGGCTCTGACATATTCTGTGTCGGGCAGCATCCAGATGCTTTTGGTGGGGGGTTTGCTGTATTCTATCGGGCTACTGTTCTACAGGCTCTTCTTTCATCCTCTCAGAAAGATCCCCGGACCTTGGTACGCCGCAGCGACGAGCTGGTACGAATTTTACTACGACGTTGTTCTGGACGGCCAGCTTGTCAGGCAATACCCGATTCTGCATGACAAATATGGTGAGTGATGCGGACACCAGGCTAAAGAAATACGGTGCTTACATTGCAATTCGTGCAGGGCCTGTGATCCGCATCTCTCCCGACCGCATACACGTTAGCGATCCCAGCTTTTTCAGGGAGTGAGTTCTGTTCCTGAGGAACTACCAAAGAAGCGACTCATTTCGTCAACAGGGTTTATGCGAATAACAGCCGATATCTCAAAGATTCGGGTTTCTACCAGGCTTTCGGCACGTTGAAATACTCCATCGTTATGCTTATTGACCCGGAAGAGCACAAGCAGCGAAGAAACACCGTCAAGTCCCTTTTCTCGACCAGACAAATGGATCAGCTGGCTCCTTCGATTTTGGATGTTGTCAGGAGGGCTATGAATAGGGCACAGAGATCTTACGACGGAGGAGCCCCGCTGAACATTCAGGCCTCGTGGTCGTCCGTCACAGTAGGTCTTAACATGACAGGTGGAGGAAAAAGCTTCGCTAAGTTGTATAAAGGTTGACACGATCATGTCTGTTCTGTTTGATCGGCAAATGAATTTCGTGGACTCAGACGAGGAGATGCCCCCTTTTCTGGACGCCATGACGAAATTTGCAGACAACTTTCTTCTCACGAAACACTTCCCTCTGATGAACCGCCTCGCCGTTGGCTTGCCAATGAGCATAGCTGGTATGATAATACCAGGATTCGCCGCTTTCCGCAAGGTAAACCACCAAAACTCTAGAGATTGACTTTCCACTGACTTGAGATACCAGCAATGCTCGGAATGGATTGGAGAAATCGAAGAAAAGCAAGCTAAAGGCTTGACAACAGCGTCTGATGGACGGCCCACTTACTTTGACCTGCTGCTCCGCTCCAATGCTAAAATGCCCAATGGGCTGAACAGAGAGGCGCTTGTAGACGAGGCTTTTGTACTTTGCTTTGCTGGTACCGACACTACAGGTATTGGTCTCAGTCTCGGGACCTACTATCTTCTGAAGAACCCTGAGAAGCTGAACAAGATGCTCGACGAGTTGAAGACGGTGAAGACAAATGCCGAGGGACTTTTCGAGTACCGCGAACTTTGCAATCTCCCATACCTGGTCAGTAACTCGGCCCAGTCGCCCATAATCCCATGCTGACCTCCCCCTTGACCGCTGTGTGCAAAGAGATTCTTCGCTTGTCTTCACCAGTGCCCGGAATCACCCCCCGCAGAGTTCCTGCTGGAGGTGTATACGTCGCCGGTCATTTCCTTCCGGGAGGGGTGAGTTTACAGACTGCTGCTTGTTGATCTCATTACTCAACTCTCAAACAGTCGACCGTATCTCAAGCGATCAGAACCATCCACGACAACCCGGATATCTTTCCGGAGCCACAAAGGTTCATCCCAGAGCGTTGGCTCGGAGAGAATGGATGGGAGCTGGAGAAGTGGTTCGTTCCCTTCAGTAAAGGGACACGCGCTTGCATAGGACTGAAGTGAGTGCTCATCGTTGGCTAAGTTCATTTGGAGAGACTGACACTTCAAAGCGTCGCTTACATGGAGATGTATCTCTGTCTTGCCAACTTGTTCACCCGCTTCAATATGAGTTTGTACAAGACAGACGATAATACGACACAGTGGGCGGATGGTCCTGCGGCTAGAATTCGCGAAAGTGTCAAAGTCAACATTGATTCGATCAAGATGTAGTTGCTTCAAAACTTTACCACTGGTATGTCTTTGGGCTATTTGTTACTGAGTTGCGATCGAATAAGCCAATAAACTGCATAAAGATGTAGAGCTGCGAGGGTTTTCTTCGGTGTTCCATTGCCTGTCAAACGTCTTGTGCCAGATTCTGTGCTGCTCACACCTCTTCTCTTGGCAGCGTGCATACAGCTACGCAGTCGAATTCTCAGCGGCCAGTAATATCTGGAATTTAGCGGTATAAATCATGCAAACATCCGTTTGCTTCTGCAATGTACATGATCAAGCCATTAACACTCCACTTTAGACGTCAAGAGACAGTTTCGCCGTAGACGTGCATAAAATCCTCTCTTTCTGTTGGTTCTTCTAACAATTGTATGCTGCATCATTCCGGCCAAGAAAGAGGGGTTCTAGTCTCACGTGTTGGGAGTGCCCACTACAAGACGGTCGAGTCGCCCGCGAACTTTGCCATCTAGATGGCCCAATCTTTCTTTTCAATAAGAAAAAGTCACACAGCCACCAACATTGTCTTCAAGTCAGTAGTGGTATCTTGGTATAGAACCCATCATGAATCAGCTAGCAGCAGATCAAGAACAGGTCGATCACGAAGTCGAACTTGTGCCTGAGGACGAGGTAATGATGAAGGGATTGTGATTTGCGACGACGAGAGGAGTATGGCTGATTCTGCTCGCAGGTTTCAGACGAAAATGGGGTGTATACCCTAGTATATTTTACTTCCCAATGCCCTATTCACGCCATGTGTTGCTAACGTCGTTTCCAAACAGAGTCTTGCCTCGTCAACCACTAGCTTAGCCGACTCAATCCGCGACTATGTTTTCGAAAATGGCAGAACATACCATCGCTACAAGGAAGGGAGTAAGAGACTCCTGCCCGTTTCCATTTTCCCGGCGACACTACTCACAGAAACATCTAGAATACAACATGCCAAACGACGAACGTGAGAACGATAGAATGGGTAAGAACTCCCAGCCAAATCTCTCGTTGTGCCACGATTTCGTGACTTAACAAGAGACTCTTTTACAGACATGCAACATCACATGTTCCTCATGACACTCGGCGGGCGTCTGGGTATCTCTCCGCCTTGTCAGCCGGGTGCACATATTCAACGTGCTCTCGACGTAGGCACTGGCACTGGCATTTGGGCCATCCAATATGCAGAAGATCATCCCGAGGTCGAGGTATTTTACACCGATGAATAATCCTAAATCGTACTTTGTCAAGGAGCTAATTTGCATTGTCTTCAGGTGTACGGCGTAGATCTGTCTCCAACCCAGCCAGATTTGTACGGTGAATATGAAGCGAGCAGAAAGAGAAAGACTGACAGATGTTTCTTAGCGTCGTACCAAACGTCAAATTTGAAATTGACGATATCGATGAGGAATGGACCTACTCGCAACCGTTCGACTACGTCCACAGTCGCTTCATGACCTCTAGCGTTTCCAGCTGGAAAGAGTATTTGACAAAGTGCTACGAGTACGCCACCCACGCTCTTGAAGACGTTTTCGACCTTTGACTGCATTTATTCATTGTTGAACATCGCATCACTCACAACATGGCAGTAATCTGGCTCCTGGAGGCTATGTAGAACTCCAAGAGGCCGAGATGGACCCCCAAGCCGATGACGGCTCGTTCCCGCCGGACTGTGCACTCGCCCGTTTCGCTATCCTATTAAAGGAGGCCGCCTCCAAATTTGGCCGCGTCTTCATCGAGCCGCCTAAACTCAAGCCACTGATGGCGGAGGTTGGTTTCGAGGACGTGACCCTTGTCCGATACAAGTGGCCAATCAACGACTGGCCCAAGGACCCCCGATGGAAGGAGCTCGGAGCTTGGAACCTCGAGAACAACCTCGGCGCTGCTGAGAGTCTCGCCATGGCACCGCTCACTAGAGCACATGAGTGGAGCCGTACTGAAGTTGAGGTGTTTCTTACAGAGGTTCGGCAGGACTTGAGAAACAGGGCCATCCACGGATACTTTCCACTGTAAGCTACCATGCACACTCGCGTTGGGAGCTTTCCACAGTGAAGACTGACAGAGCTATCATCAGGTATTTCATCTACGGTCGAAAGCCACTGTAGACGGATGATCTTGCCTAGAGGGAGCACTACTTCCAGTCAGGTCTTGACTCTTGTGCGCACTGCATTCTTCTGCTGCACACGAGTGTGTATTTAAATGGCGCGAGTAGAGACAGAGGATGTGGACGCCTCGCTTGCAATGGATCCAGGCCCGTTCCCTCACTGCATAACACTAATGCAAGCCGCCAGAATTGAGCGAGTAGGATCCGACGGAAAGAGTCCTAATCATGCAGGTTGCCGTTAACTTCACTGCAATTTAATATCGTCCTGAAGGTATGTCCGCTGTGCTAGCTCTCTGGGCCATATTGAATGAGCAAAAGGCGATGCAATTGTTGGGGCCGACATACATACCTACATGTATGTACTTCTATCTTTCTATAAGAACTTGGACGGCTTGTCCACTTCACCCATTCAGGTCTAAACAGATTCCTTACTTGTCTCGCATTTGTTGCTTTCTCTGAAAGATTCGCGTATTTTCTAGCTCTATTAGGATACGCACGAGTGTTTGTTTCTCCACGCCTGGCTGTTAGAGATCTTGATTGCCATTGTCCATCATGGTCATCGCCCCTCAGCGCTATCTCCCGTCTATTGATGCTGTTGTATTCAATATAGGTCCGTCGGAAGATTTCTTTTCAATATGAATTGAGAATAACCAACGAGCTGGATGGTCAAGCGCAATATTCCCTTGAATCGAATCCAACGGCAGTGGATCAAAGCAGATTGTTTGTGGCCAGACTTCAAAATAAATCGCCGATCATCTTTTATATGTCTCTTATCCAAGCCTGCACATCCTTGGCTGTGGAATTGACTGTCAAGACAGTATATTAATCCATGGAGATCATGATTCTTGCTATCGTCAACCACAATGAGTCCAGCTTCTGTCCTTGGACCTTCTGGCTTTCTCACGAGGTGTTTTAATCAGTGTGAGACCGCACACCACGCTTAAGGTAGTCAAAGTCACATCTCTTCATCGGAAATGTGCAGCCCTCCTTGAGTATTATTCTGAATGTCGCGCGGACGACAGCACCGCGGTGAAGTAATCCAAGGGGCAATTCAAAGAGTAATACTCGAACATCGTGCTGCACCTTACAGCCAGCCAGCATCCCTTGATAGTATACTACTGAGACTTCAGGGGTAAATAGCCAGCACAGAAAGGATTGCTGCAGATTAGAGACTGGCTGTCAACCTCAATTCTTTAAATAGGTGGCCCAGCAATGTCAAATGACGATGACATATTGTGAGGCTGTCAAAACATTCCAAGCTCTGTGAAAGTATATGAAAGACGCTTAACCAACATGCGTATGCACCATTCCTTGTCCTGGGCACTTCAGCATCAGCGAAGTACAACCAGGACACTGCCTTCTTCAAAGAGAAAGTCAAAGCATCATAAGAAATGGGCATATTGAGCTTATCCCGAAACTTAAAAGAAGCATAATGCTAAAATATATCCAAACAAGCGAGGGTATATCTTGCAAACAAACAAGTCGCTTCCAAGGGGGGTATCATTTCAAATCCCAACTCCGAGAACAGAACTCAAGAAATCACCTCTCAAACCTCCCGTACCTTTCCTGCTCCTCCTCAACATGCGCCCGATACACCTTCCTCAACTCCTCCAGCCCCGCCTCGTTCTCCCTCTCCCGCTCCCTCATCCTCGCCGCCGCCGGCCCGCTCCCTACCGCATCGATCCCAACCAACGCCTCCGCCTCGATCCGCGACACGAACCGCCCGTCCCGCAGGAACAGCCCCGGGTGGCACCCTACCAGCGCCATGAGCGCGTACGCAACCAGCAGCCCCTCCAGCCCGACGAACAGACCCTCGCCATCCTTCGCGGAGACGCCCCCCGCGTATTCCGCCACCCGGAAGCACAGCCGCCCGAAGAGGACCGCCATCGCCGACGGCACGGCCATCGCGAAGATGCGGAAACGCCGCGGGAGCGGGACGTAGCCCGCGTCGCGGTGGAACGTGGTGTATCCGTACCGGCGGTACGAGAGCGCCGCGCGGACGAGGACGGAGGCGAGCAGGAGTGCGGCGGCGATGAGGGTCGCGAGCTGGAGTGCGAGCCCGGCTGTGACGAGCTTGGCGCCGGCGGGGGTGGGGGTATAAGAGGGCGTTTTTGTGTCGGTGAGGATGGCGGAGGGGGCGCTGCTGAAGCTGAGGGCGAGGCCGGCGAGCTGGAGTGTGAGGGCGAGGAGGTCTGCGGGGAGGAGGAGGGCGGCGTAGAGGCGTGCTGGGAGGATGGAGTGTTCTGTGCCGAGGGTGTGGACCATGGGGCCGAGGGAGACGTAGATGCTGGATGGAGTTTGTTAGCAGCCGGTCATAAGGTAGTCTGAAATATGGGGGAAGGGAGAAAGCCTACCTTGACGTGAGGAAGACAGGGGCGATAGTGAGAAGTGCTTTGCCTTGCATGAAGGGGTACATCGCCCAGGGATCGCTCCAGCCCGCGAGACGGTCCGCCCAGCCGATGACCTCAAGCGCGCATGCCAGTGTGACTAACATGGCGAACGGCACCGTCGCCGAGTGTTTCTGTTGTTGTGTCTGGGAGGCTCGGACTGTGATGGCCGCGTTGGCGATGAGGCAGATTGAGGAGATGGCGATGAAGATGACGGGGGCCTCTTGGCTGGGCCGGTAGCCGTAGGGAGACGTCGAGACGGAACATGTTGTTAGGGCGCAGGGCTGTGACATGTTTGCGACCTTGCAGTTTGTCGTCTATTAGGATGTTGTGATATGACACAACGAGGAGGCGTGATCAAGATGGTAGTGAGATGGCATTCGAAGAGGCGACTCGGTGGTCAGACAAAAGACTGGAGAAGGGTTGCACTCGTGCTGTCTCTATATTGGATGCCTAGTAGTCTTTATACGCTCGCGACATCGAGGCTTCGACAGAATGCCCGTACCAGACCGTTGGGAAAATCATCGTGGCCGTGTCTCCCTGACCGTCGCCGACCCGATCCCGCGGTACGTTGGTTGGGTGCTATTGTTAGAAACAACGGAAATGCAGTGAGCAAAAAGAGACAGATTCCTGCGGGGGAAAACACACTGGAAGGAAGTGGCAGTGGCAGCAGATCCCTACACCCCCGGCGCCGGGCGTGCTGCGCAAAAATAGTGGGGACCCGGCCGGGCATGCTCGCCGGGGCGTCGTCTCTGGCTTTAGGCACCCGGCAATCGGACCTAAGTATTAATGGAGCATCTCTCTGTAGCCTTTGTATCCACATCTTCGCAATTTGAGACCCGGAGCCAGTCTCCTCTTTCACGAAGCTTGAAATGAACGTCTTTCTGGGTCATAATGGCAGCCTGGGCTAGCCCCAGCAATTAAGCTTATTCAGGTGTTTTCCCAACACGTTGCCCCCTGTTCGTTGCAAATAGCGGCTGCCTACAGCGGAGTAGGGACAAGCACCAACAATACATTGGGAGCTTGCTGCGGCGCGGCACAATCACCTTGGCGTCTGTCTGTCTGTCTCTCTCTTCCTCTTCCCCGCGCCAATGCTGCTTACCGCCTGTCGCGCTCAGCCTCCTAGCCGGATTCCCAAACCTCTCATTCGCTTGACCGGCCCCGGGGAGATGAAAAATGTTTGTTGGTTGGTCTTTCTCACGCGCAGCACTGCCTGCTTCTGTGTTCCCGCGAACGGCGGCAAAACTGCACTTTTCTTTTTATTCTTATCTGCGGTGTGCCGGTTGCTTGGTTTTCGGTCTATCAGCTTGAGGGATGCTTGACCGAGAGGGCCCGACGTCATCCTTGTTGGTTCGCTCACATGGTGAGCGGCTTCCGACACTTGCTGCCTTGCTATCGCCAAAGTGCGCAGTCATCGTCGTTGTTAAAGCCTCCTCCACCGCGCGGGCATTCAGTCTCGTCGCTTGCGACAGGACCAAGTTCACAGGTAATGGCGGTGAGATGGGAGTATATCTTTGAAAACATTATAATTATGTACTATTGAAGATTGCCAAGGCCGGCTAAAGTCGTGGAGGAGATTTACCCATCCTCGGTTTTCCATAGTCATGAGTATCTGTATTCCTCCCCAAATTCCTTTTCATAAACGAAGGTGTTCATCCAAGGCGCAAAAGCGCCACCCAATAAATCTCTACTCCGAAGCATAGTTCGCTTGAAATCAAAAAAAGAGGTATCTGGCACTAATCTAAAGTCTTAAGAAGGGAAGGGACGGACAGAACTGCCCGGTGTAATGACGGGTTTACACGCCGGGGCGGGTGAACATAGAGCCTTGGGGCCAGTTGCCCAGACCGGCGGGGTCACCACCGATGCGGACGTAGACGCCGATGCCTGGCATGCCGTTGTCGATGACGAAGAACTGGTACCAACCCGGAGGCGCGACACCGGCGTTGGGCGGCGCGGTGACAGTGCAGCTCAAGGCGCCGCACGAGACGGCAGGGAAGATTGTGCGGGCGCCCATGGAGTTACCGTGGGTCGAGGACACGGCACCGAGAAGGGAAACCTTGATTACGCCGTTGGGCTGGTGTCCAAGGGAGAAAGTGACAGTTTGACCATACGTCCAGTCGGTGTTGGTAACATTGAACGTCGGGCGCGGCTTGCCGCTCAGGAGGTACGGAGGGCTGAACTTCTCGACGCGATACTCCTGAGGGTTGACGCCATCTTCAGGGTCGGAACCACTGACCAGAACACTGCCGTCAAGCAGGGTGATGGACTCGGAGTGGTAGAGACGGGAGATGGTGGTGTTGGCCATGACTGTGATGCGCGAGCCGACAGGCTTCTCGGGGTCGTACAGGAGGGCCATGTGGTTGGGGAAAGCAGCCAGGCCGAAGCCGGCGACACCTTGCATGGCACCGTTGTTGATCAGGTAAGTGCCGTCAGGAAGAGGCGCGATGCAAGACATGACACGGCGGGTGGGCATGCGCTCAATTGTCCAGGTTGGGTTGGTGGCCTCGGGCTGGATGGTGACACAGTTGTCCAGGACAATGTTGGCGCCAGCTCCAGAGCCACCGCAGATGAGGATGCCGAGCGGATCAGTGTAAGGAGCCTTCTGAGGCAGGAGGACAGCCGTGCCCTCAAGAGGATAGGAACGTCCTCCCAGAGGATTGTTGACCGAGCCTGGAATCTGGGGCAACAGAGTCTTGGTGGCGAAGGTGTTTCTGTCCAAGATTCTGGCCTCGTTCCAGTAGGCGACAAAGATGTCCTGGCTGGGCAGAACGGCGACGAATGGGTACAAGTTGTTGGGGTCGCTCTTCTGAAGCCAGTCCATGTAGAGAGGAGCAGTGCCCGTGTAGGGCAAGACCTCAATCGTAGGAACAGCTGCGCCGTTGGAACCTTCCTCGCCTCCAATAACCATGATGGAGCCGTTGGCCATGACGAGAGCGGACGGGTACCAGCGACCTTGCTGAAGCTTGAGAGAAGGGTCCTCCTGCCAGTCCGTGGTACCGTTCACGCCGGGAGATCCACTGGGGTTGTAGAGACGAACACCATAGGTAGAATCACCGGACCAACCTCCAATGTTCAACTGGCGACCGTTCTTGTCGGGGAGCGTGAGCCCGGCAGAGCAGAAGATATCCGTCTTGACGTGCATTTCTCTCCAGGCCTTGTTCAGATCGGGAGCCAGAACGGGGTCCAGCTCGTATGCGCCAGTCGAGTTGGGCGGGCCAGTTCCCCACTTCTCAAGGAAGGTGACCTTGCCTTTGATAGTCTCCATGGTCATCAAAGGAATGCACTTGCCGCCGATGAACAGATCGTAGCTTCCAGCATCATTGCCTGTGGCATAGGTCCAGTTGTACAGAGCCGGGCCGGTCCAGAAGTAAGTCGACATGACAGCGAGACCACCGCAAATGCCAGTAGCATTGCCGGCGCAGGAGATACTGCAACGAGATTCATCGACGAAGGTGGCACCGGCTGTTACAATGTTGGCAGGATCACCGCAGTAGCACTCCTGGCCGTATTCAAGACCAGCTGCCATGTAGCCGAATTTGGCGCATGCGTCCAAGCACAAACCAGCCGTCATAGTACCAGCAAAGATGGTCTGCGTGGCAAAGGTTCGCTTGTTGTTGACGTTGTCCGTGACGCACCCTTCGTAGGTCCAAGAACCGTTGAGTCCACTGCGCTGAGGAGCCGGAGGTGCGTACGTCTGGGGAGTGCCCTTTGAGTAAATCGTCATGCGGTTGCCGCCTCCGCACATCTGGGCAGAGTTGCCGCCACAGGGAGTGTTGCAGCTGGTCTGGTCAGAGGCGACAACACCGCCACCGTAGATGGCGTTACCGCAGAAGCATTGAGTGTGATACTCGGAGCCAGAAACCGTATAGCCGTTGGCCGCGCAGTAGTTGACGCAGGACTGGACAGTCATTTTTGGGTCATCAGCAGCTTGGACGGGAAGGATACGGCCATTGGCGTTATCCACCCAGCAGCCCTGGTTCGTCCACCCAGCAGGGAAGCCGGTAGATGAGGGAGACGCCGTAGATGATGTTGCGGCGGTCGCCGATCCACTAGCGGACGAAGTCGACAATCCGACAGTCGACGAGGAAGAGACGGACTGCTTGGCGGTGCCGATTGTGTACACGGAAAGGCGGTTGCCATTACCACAGTACTGGAACTTGTTGCCGGAGCAGGTCATGGAGCAGTCGCTCGAAGGGGCGATTGCGGAACCAGCGGAGAAGGTATTTCCACACCAGCACTCACGAGACCACTCCAAGCCTGCAAAAGTGTAACCAGCACCACCACAGAAAGCTACGCACTTCTCTATGGTCATGGCATCGTCGCCGAAGTTGGTTGAAGGGAGGGCGCGAGCGTTGGTGGCCTCGGTCTGGCATCCGTAGTAGTTCCAGTTGCCGACGGTCGCTGGTTGGCTAGGGCCGGTGGGTGTAGGGGTAGCAGAGCTGATGCTGCTGCTCGAGGAGCTGATCACCGAGGTCGCGCTGGTGAGGGAGCTCACGAATGAGGAGCTAGAGCTGCTGATGATCGCAGCGGCGGTCAAACTGCTACTGGCCGAAGTGCTGGACACAGCAGAGCTGCTGCTAGTAGGAATGATGGTGCTGCTGGAAGAGAAAACAGAGCTGGAGCTGGAGCTGGAGCTGGACCTAACAGTGGAGCTGCTGGAAGAAGCGATCGAACTCGAGCTAGACGTCGAGGAGCTAGTCGGCGCCGCGCTTGATGTGGAAGATGGCAAGGGCAGGTACGAATGCTTGTAGTCATAGACGTTCAAGCGGTTGGGGCCACCGCAATACTCAGAAGAGTTACCGTTGCAAACCATGTTGCAGCCATCAACAACGGAAGCACCGCCATTTACAGGACTGTTACCGCAGTCTAAAACGCATTGTTAGGAAAATGTCATGACGACGAACATGACAAGAACTTACAGCACTCGCCGGCGTACTCAACACCCGCAAGGATGAAACCGAGGTTCTGGCAAGCGGCAGTGCACTTGGCAACAGTCATGGCGCCTGTGACGCCAACAGCATTCGTGAGCGCGCGGCCACCTGTACCCTCGCTGTTACGATGTTAGCCTCAAGTTGTGGTGGGCAAAGCAATGTTGACTCACGAATAGCATCCGATGGAAGACCAATCACCAGGGCCAGGGTTGACCGAAGGCCCAACAATGAGGGAGGTATGGTAGAGCGTGAGACGATTGGGACCACCGCAAGGCTGGGTTGCGTTTCCATTGCAAGGGGTGGTGCAGTCGGCGTCGGCGGCCTGAATGCCGTTCTTGGCCAGAGAATTGCCGCAGTAACATTCGCCATAGTACTCGGTTCCGGCGTAGGCGAAGCCCTTGCTGAAGCAGAATTGCGTGCATAGCTCGTTCGTCATCGTGTTGCCGTTGGTAGTGGCATCGCTGATAGTTCGGCCAACATCGCTAGATCCCAGTCAGTAAGTCGCTCTGGTTCAACAGACAGGTCCCGTACACATAGCAACCCTGAAGTTGGTATCCATTTGACGTGGTTGGGGGAGCTTGGAGGGCTCGCTTGTGGAGGCCCGGGGAATAAGCCGCAGCATTTGCAAGAGAGAACGTGGAAGCAATAACGAATGTCAACTGTGAGGCCCTCATGGTAACAAGTGTGTGCCAAGAGGCAGAAACCAACACAAAAGCAAGTAAAAGAGTGTAAAGGAGTGGGTGGTGAGGTGGAAGAGAACAATTCGTGATGGTTCGGGAACCATGAAGCTATATATTCTCTCGACTCAAAGCGCAGGCGAACCTGAAGTGACGGGAGGCCAAAGCGAACATAGAGAAGCATTAGACGCGGATAGACCTAACTAGGCTCCGGCCGTGACCTCCCACTTGGGAGATATGATCTCCTCCATCGTACACTAGGGGGCAACGAGAGAAGTCCATTGGGAGAGGGGCCATGGGCGGGACTAGAGGATGCCATGCTCGCATGGGGCTTGCTAAGAAACCAGCAAGGCTAGCCGGGCGAGCTAGGCGACCACGAATTGCGCTTGCAAGGCGTGGTGTGTAAAGAAAATCAATGGGCGAGACGCGGGTACTTCGTCCCTCGCATGGCTACCGTGGTGTGGGAAGGGCTTGGGATGGGATAGATGGGTGAGACGGCGAGGCTTGGGCTGAGAGCGAGACAAGAACCGATGCTGGCCAACGGCCTGGGGTGAGCTGAAGTTGGAAGATGGTTCTCCGGACAGAAAACGAACATGTCTGGGCGCTAAACCATTAATAGCACCCCATCTCTTTGTGCCAGAGCCCTACCCCAAGGCCCCGTCAGCCGCCGTTGAGCGTTGTTAGGGGTGCCGTTGTGCCGTTGTCGCCCTCAGCCTGAACTTGACCATCAGCATAGTATGTCTCTTTCACTCAGCTCAAGTGAACCGTATCGTGAAGCTGCCCAGCAACACGAGAAGCCACACCACTTGAGAGATCAAGGCCCAACCGGGAGGCCGGGTTCCGCAGGCGAGCGCGAAAAGACGAAGAACCGCCGGGCTTCGGCCCAGTTCATCATTCGAATGATTGCCACGCGCATGTGGAAATTGGCAAACAAAGTAGGAAGCGGCAGTGAGAGATGGGAAAGGAGGTCAGAATTTGGTGGTGTGCACGTCTCTCTTTTCCTGTGCGTGTTTTCTCCAAGATCCAATGCCATCGCCCTCTGGGGATCAGGGTCGAGCATAAGTGGGGCGCTCCCTACAGGGGGGTGCATATGTACGTACCCGATAGCTTATCCATTTCTCTATCTGGTAAGCTTAGTTTTGGCCCAGGGTCAGGGAGCAGGGGTCAAGGGACGACTCGACCATCTCTTCCCATATTGCCATTGTCGTTGCCATTCTTGGTTGTTCTCTCTGCTAAGCGCTCTGGGGTAAAGTTGCCATCTTGCCGAGTAATGCCGACAAGAAACCCCGGGTGCTCTGCGAGAAGGCGCATGAGCACGAGGCTTGGGCTTCGGAGAAGATCTGCGGTAAACAGAGGTGTTTTGGGCGCCTAGGTGTTCCCTACAGACCGGGTAATCCGGTTCCAGTTCTTCGGTACTGACGACGGCGTGCGCACCCAGGCCGCGTTCTTTCGTGATCACCGTCTATCGATGGCTAGATCGAGGTGCTGGGTCACATCCATGCTACCGAAGACGACATCCTGAGGCGCCGAAAATAGTCTTGCAGTACACCCACATCACCCATAGTAGGTATATGTTGGTGGCGAGTATATCGATTCTCTTCCGACAATGTATTGCTGTCGCTGTCTCAAGCGCCTCGGAAGGATGGCGTTTCTGCCCGTCAGTCCGTCTCTTGGCATTCGATACTGTGGACAGCAAGACCGTCAGCCAGAATCATAGAGACTTCACGAAATACCATGACAACCCCAGGTCTTGGCTAAGGTCTTGGGAGTACGGATTCGTACCTGCCAAGAAACGTCAACCTCTTCTCGTTCCCCCGGGAATGAGAAAGAGGCAGAGTGCAGCCGTGCTGTGCTAAGAGCCGATACCCGGCGAGCCATCGTCCAGTTGCAGTATCGCGCAAGGCCAATGCTGTTTGTCAGCTGCTGCCAGTGAGGAAGGATACGAGAAAGTGACACTGGAGAGATGGGACGAGTCAAGAGAAGTCGACTCCATCTTGCGTTTCTTTGACAGGGGACCTGCAGGCGGCAGGGGCCGACGCACAAGATCACTGGTGATCCGTGTGCTCCGCGTTCCCCTGCATGGCCCCACTCTGCAGTCAGCACGTACAGCTTCAGACTAGTCCCAATCGGGAACCATAACAGGGGCGGCAAACTCGGGTCGTGTGTTCATGCTCTTTCTCTTTCCTCTTCTCGCATTCGTCAGCTCACCAAATGACTTCCTTCCGCCTCAGTTGCCTTCTCGGACCTGACTTATCTTAATCGAGGTAGGAAGGCTCCACCTGACACTCAAACGACTAGCGCATCCTCCTTCTCTCTGGAGAGCTCACCATTTTTCTCCTTCGCAGGCTTCGTCACTCAGCTCCCTCCCACGCCTTACCATTGACAAGAAGATGGCGTAACCGAGTCCCAAGAATCTCACGGTTTCAATCCATTGATTATGGCTTCAGAAAACTTTCTGTCTCTCTGTCAACGCTTCAGCCCATTCAAAGATGACAGGCATCGTGGCAGCGCAACGTGTCGTGTCATCCTAGTCAGCCTTAGGGAAAGCCCTCGTTCTTGATCACCACCGATCTGTTGTGCGATGCTGCACACGGCTACACATGGAATTGCTTATTCTCCGTCTATCACAAGGACGAACAAGTGGTCTGCTCTCTTCGGCGGAATCGCCAATACTTGCCCCCCCCCTTTGGGACCCGAAAACCCCTGATCCCAGCTACGGCTGAGCATGGAGCTACCGATCTGAACCTGTGATGCTGCAGAACAACCTGCCAGGCATCCAGGTCTGGCCTCCGCACTAACTGGGCCTCATCTGAGCGTTCACTCGGCCGGAACTGGGCCTCCATTTCCGCTTTCCTTGCCTGGCCATCTCCCGGCAAGTCGGGACATCAAATGTCGACGACTCGGCATCCTCTGGATATTCCTTGTCAGATACAATCCTCACCGATACAACCTTATCGCACGGTCTATTTTCATCTCAGAATCGACCGACGGGTCGCTTCTTGATGCTTCGCCACTTCCTCCCGATAATGGAAACAACCATCGTGAACAAGCCAGGAGGGGCTGCCCCCCTGCGTCGCCCTTCTCGAAGGAGAGCGCCCAACAAGCAACTGTGCCGGATGGATCTCGCTGTGGTGCCCATATCGATAAGGGGTTGCAAAGGAGACCAACAACTTGGTTGCCCCTCTCATGGCCGCGAAGCCTCAGCAGCCACTTTATTAGTCAAACGGCCAAGCCATCGTGGCTTGTCTAAAACAGACGTTAACTCTATTTGAACCGACTAGCAGTCCAGCTCCCTCAATAGCGCAGCCATTCTGCCAACCTGGAGCAAACATCGCTGCTTGCCCACGGCAAACTCTGGCCAGTCGGAAGTTGCGTTCTGCGTTGCCTTCACGATACAAGCGCGTACCCTGCCCTTCGGCTAACCATCGCCACCCCTACTAATTGTCCCCGCCTATCCTTGGGCTGTCTTGGGGGTAACAAGGTGGACTTGTCGCCAAGTCGGCCAACGTTGTGCCAGGATACTGTCAGACGCGCATTAGTCGAGCTCTCGAAGCCGCGACCAGTCATTTGGCTACCAAACTCCATCCAGCATCTTGTCTTATGACGCCTTCCGGCAGCATGAGATCTGCCGAATCTCACGCTCTCTTGCTGACTGCGAGACACACCATCACTGCTCCTGATGTAGTACGCTGACATCATGCAACCGCGGGCGTCAAACCAGGGACATATCCAGAATCAGCCGTACCTAGTTGCTGCCTATCGAGCCACCTTAACACTTACAGCACCTTCCAGCTACCCTCTTAGCGCACAATGATAACCACACAGTTCAGTCCGGGGTCCTTCACATTCGATCCCCGACCCCGCAACTGTCGTGATTGTTTCTTCCTAGCTCTTGGTCAAGGCCGAGTTCACAACGACAGCTTAAGCACCATCGGTCTACCTAGTCTTCCAGCTCTCAACTTTTTGCCGCATCCCAATGGTATGGAAAGCACATGGCGCCGGCCAACCTAAGTGGCCAACGCCACTGCGCGGTTCAAATTAAGGACTAATATAGCCCTCACCAGCGCCCATTAGCAAGGGGCGAGCTCTTCGCAAGCCAACGTTCTATTTCTTGGGTTCTAGGCTGCAGCCGCTGGTTGCCGAGCCGTAGACTCATATTCTCTAAGCAGCGTGCTTATCTTGTCAGGGGTTAGCGCCTAGTGTCCGACACTAAAGTACCCTGAAGAGCACGGCACGTTCAACGCATCCCACAGAAACCCTGAAGCACTCGTTTCCAAGACGGCGGTCTTCAGTTACGTTGCTTTTCCTTTTTGGGATACGCAGGATTCTGCAGCCATTTGGCTTCTGCTATGTCTAGGGCTCGGAAAGGCCTCTTATCTTGACTGATCGGAGCTGTAGGCAACGGGAATGTGATCCTGCCGTTCGAGCTCGGCTTCTAGATGAGAAACAGTTCTCGTTTGCCGCAGGAAACAACGTTAGCCCAAACCATAGTCTCTTTGCTTCTATTCGTATCCTTTGGTCGGGGCCCTGCACCTCTGGATCGGACGCTCCGACTTTCACGGCTCTTGAGGCAAAGACCAAGACCTTGACAGCAGTGAATGGCTCAATGCTAGATGCCATATGGGTAAGCAGCCTGACAGCCGCCTTGGCAAATAGACGGGTTTGCTCCACTCCGAGTCACTATCGTCAGAGGCACAGACTGGAAAGCTGGCGTGTACACTCTACCGTTGCTCCTGGGCTGCTGGTTCGTGCACATCTA